GTTTGTATTTTTGGGGGGCTCATTGAAAAAAATAATGCGCTCAATTAAAATCAATTTCAGTAATTAAAAGCAAAATTTTTCAACTTGTAGTCTAATCCTAGGAAACGATTACGTTCAGATTTCATTGGACCCAATTGCATGTTATCATATCAAATTGCATTAATATTGGAGCCGATTGAGGTAAAATTGTTTCTTTGGCCGCTTATTTGAGCCAAAAGATTTAGCATTACACAGAGATACATACAATTACTTCTTAACATAAAGGACTACAGTTTGCAACAGCATTCTATTTCCTGTCGAAATTTTGCATCAATATTTAATAATATTTCTTAGCAGGCCTCCGTTGAGAATTTGAAAAAAAGACTAACATTTTTAATGGTTTTGATTTGAAAGAATTTGAGATTTCTGTCTCGAGGAGCTATAAAAATAGAAAGCAGGATACTTAGTCCCTCTATTTTTAGAAGAACTAAATTTGAGACTTTAAAAATACAAATTTTACTGACATGAGATTAAAAAAGTTTTGTAATTCTTGTTTTGAGGGCACTCATTGACAAAAATACTGCGCTCATTTAAAATTAATTTCAGTGATTAAAAGCAAAATCCTTCAACTTGCAGTCCAATCCTAGGAAACGATTAACACGAGAAGTTCAATACAGTATTCAACTTAGGATAGATAAAATAACCATTAACAAATAGATAAAGCATGCATTCTTCTGAATGTCCTAAAAAATAAAGATAACAAAACAGAGAGAGAAGGCATTTCAACGATTGAAAATCACAATGTTTTGTAATTAAGAAAGATTTAGATCTACATTTCAAAACTTCAGTCATAAAGAATGCGCAACATAAATTATTCTTCAGACTGACTTTAACTGATAAAAAGAGTAAGAAGGCTTGAAGAAATCAATATTACTTACATAATCACAACGCACACACAATTTGGTCCAAAGGATACTACACTGAGGATATAATATACAGTAATTGACTTGATTGCACTTTAAGAAGAGCAATTTCTAGTTGAAAAATCTTAAACAACAGTTTCTATGTCCTCGGAGACCAGCTGGAAATTTTCTTGACCTGAAAAAGGGATGAGAAGCATTACTTAAAACTAGAAATTCCGTTGATGATTTGAGAAATTAAAATGTTTTCAGTTTTGTCATGATGGTTCCAATAGGAGACCTAAATTATGTAATTGTGGATCAAAATTGTGTAAAAACAATCATAGACACCAATCAATAGTTCAGGGCTAAGGTGATTCAACGGTTGCCATTTTTTGTGTCAGAGCAACGTACGATATATCGCATCAATTCGTTCCATAATTTTAGCTACTTGTCATTTTTTTCGAATTTTGAGATTGCACTTCTGTTGTCATCAGACTAAAGAATTTTAACAAAGATTTTGACAAAGAAATTTAACATATTAAAAGCAGGGTTTTTTTAGAGGGAAAATATTGCATTCGATACTGATATCGAAACTGCACTCGAATGCAATACCTATTTTTCCTCTGAAATAACCCTGCCTTTATTACGTTGAATTTTTTTGTCAAATTTGGTACATGGATGCTTCAGTCTCATGACAACAGAAAGGCGATCTCGAAATTCGAAAAAAATGACTAATAGCTGAAATTATGGAATGAATTGATGCGATATATCGCACGTCGCTCTGACACAAACAATGGCAACCGTCGAATCACCTTAAATCACTCTGCTAAAATTGAGCCTCACCTCTTGCTTGTCTTAAAAATACGTGCATAACATAATCCAGATTTTGACCATTACTGCTACTTCATATAAAAACTTATCTTATTATTTAGCAGAAAAAGGGATAGCTAATTGATGTGGGAAAAATCGAGGAGAGTGTCTTAGCGGAACGTATCATTTGCTTCCCTAATTCTCGAAGTTAAATTCTTACAATTTTTAAAGGAAAACTACAGCTGGAAGTATCAAATTTTAAAACTTTCCACCAAGCAATATATCCACGGCTCTGTATATGTTTTGGATATCCATCCATTTTCACAGCTTGGTCAAAATGATGATGCCTTATAACACCAAGTCACAAGAGGAGAAATAATCGAAGGCAAATGAGTTGCAAAATTCTAGAGGATTTCTGACAACGGTTCTACATGACAGGGTAATTGAGTCGACAAATACCTCATGTTCATCTTCTTGCAGATAGACTTTAAATTTCTTAAAATTAAAATGGACGTATAAGAGTAAAATGTTTCAGAATGAAAATGGCAGCTATAAATCAATTGAAGTACGGTTTCAGGATCTCCAAATTCTACAATGTTATTTTAAGGAGGGAGGCGAAAAATTGTTATTAGTTTGACCCTTCAAAGTTTATTACCCACATGTTTTTAAAAACGTTAATTTTTCAAAATTTGATTCAAGGTGAATTTAAAAATTTTCTGTCTAAAAATTTGTATGAGAGGAGAAAAAAATAGTCAGGTTTTTGTTATTCCAGTTTCCATTGTTAACAAGAAGACCTGAAGAGAAAATTGATGTTGCCACAAGTTTTGATGGGTTTGCAGCTTCAAAATTATCATTTGTCCAATTTCTGTGAAAATGCATGGCTGAACATCTGTAAACTGAGTTTAGAGAATAGATTTAAATAGAATTTGGAGGATGTATATTGCAGTAATTCGGAATTACAGCATAATGCATGGGTAAAAAGTATTTTTTCTTGATTATATTGTATTTTCTCACTTCAATGGAATTCCTGAATTCAATAATTTTCTGAGAGAAAGAGCTTTCATACCTGTCTCCTCTATATTAGTAAGGAGAAGAAAGGGGGAGATTATGCGGTCAGCTACTTACTTTCCAGGTAATTTGCCAGCTCAGAGTCTTTAGCTTGTAAAGCAAGATGTCGAGGAGAGTTTCCCTGATGATCTAAAACAGTCAGCGATGCACCCCCCGCAACAAGCATGCAACAGATGCTATGTTTTTTGAAGGCAGCTGCTTTATGAAGAGCTGTCTGGCCCCTGTAGATAAAAAGATAAAAAAAAAAACCGTTAAATACTTTGTATTCGATAAATTTTCAGGTGTCTGATACATACACAACTCACGTTTACTCTGGGTGATTATCACCCTCATTCTATGACAAAAAGGAGGCAACAATTTTAAATGAAAAATACATATCAATGGCCATAGTGCAAAACAATGTACCTTCTTTACGGTACTTCAAAATCTGTGCTCCGGTTTTATTTTTTTTAAGAGAAACAAGTCAACTTTACAGCTTAAAATTTATACAGAATATTTTTTTTAACAGAGAAGAAAAATATAGGAACTTTTGAGGAAATCACGTTGACTAGTTTTCCAAGGAAAAAATGAAGTATGACCAGAAATCTGCATCATTGCAAACGGAGATAAGTGGTTTTGCACTTAGGCCATCGATATTTTTTACCCGTTTATGTATTTCAGTAATCAGTTTCTGTTACCTTTTATTATACATTAGCTAGAAATCATAGTTTCAACATCGGTAAGAGAATTAATATATTTCCAAGAAATCAACTCTGGAACTTACTTAATTCTCAAAAACTATCTTTCAATTAAAAAAATTATTTAGAAAGGAGAAAGAAAGACAGTTTGTTGAACTTGCAATCACGAAATATGATAGCGATTTACTCCTTGACGGTGACTGATGTGAAATAGATCTGGAGCTAAATATTTGAACCAATTTTTTAGGTAAGAAACAAATTTTAGGAAGATTCAGAAATGTCAATACATCTTGTAATTTGTAAGAGACAAGAAAATAAATTAGGGAAATACTTTACAGAGCATGAAATGACTGATTAATATGTTAATGATGAATGAGAGGGCATCTAAATTTACATTAGAGACAAAAACTACAGCGGTACAGACAAAGTATTAGGTACGTTATGATTGATATTAACTACTGCTTGGTATTATTTACTGTCAGTAGGATCTCAACAAAAGCAAATTGGCGGTCCATTTTCTTACTTATGATTATCAGCTAAATTGACAATTGATGCCGGCGCACAAGTTATCAAATATTTTATTATATCTTTATGTCCATAACGAGCAGCATAATGAAGAGCTGTTTGTCCGTGAGTGTCAATGGTAAAAAGGGAATAACCATTGGAATGAAGGTCTTTTAACTGTAAATAAATACAGAGAAAAACCAATAGGAGAAAAAGAATAAGAAGCAAAAGTACTTTCATGATACAGACATTTTTTCATATTCATTACCTATCCTGAGTGCTCGGGCGCAGGTATGACCGAAAGAAAAATTGAATATATGAGAAGTGTGAAGTAAACCTTCGGTAATTAGCGCAAAAGTAACTTACTTTTCAGCTAATCAAAGTTGGAATGAATAGTCGAGGGACTGTTCAGTCAGTGAGATAGAGCAAGATTTTAAATTTTATGAATCCTTGGAGAACCATGCGATAAACTTTGAATGAAATAATTTGTATTCAAATCTGCTGGTTCATGCAGAATTCTATCATAGATAAACAACGTTTGACAATTCTTTCAAGGCATGTTAGCATTGCTTTCTGAAGTCTTCCATAGTTTTTTATTTACATAATTTGGTCACTTTTCTTGTATGATACGTTTCTATGTTGTCACATATTTCTGTAGAGGACATTTGCTACATTGATACACAGTATTCTGATTTGCACGGCGTCTCAAAGTGCTCAAGCTCCAGATTGGGACTGATTGTCAATGCACACCTGATGATTTCTATGCCCACATCCAACTTTCCTCAAACAAGTTTCTCGCTTGCATAGCAAAGATCATGCTTAAAAAAAACAACTGGCTGATTCTCACGTAAATACTGCATTGATACACGAATGAAAACAGCTGTATCATTGATTAATACTTACTAATTTTAAATTTCCCATTTTTGCAGCTTTTAGAATCCCATCTGACGGTTTTTCCAACAGCTCACTGTATGGACACAAGGCAATTGAGATTAGTACACAGCTTAATTACAATTATAAATCTTTAAAAAAATAGCAGTGACATGGCACCGATTTCAGATGGTTTTTTTTCATTACTTTAAAATACTGATTCAATTGTAGCTTCTTGTTTAAAAAGGAAAAAGCCAACACTTATGTAAAAAATTGACTGAATAATTCATTTTCTCAAAAATTTGTAAACTTTGTAAATAGACCATTCTCTGTCCGACCGATAAATGGATTTGTAGGACTCCTCTTAGTTACCTAGGATTAAACATTCAAACAAAGTGGATATTTGACATTCAATGAGTAATTTGCCCAAGATAAAGATATCAACACTTAATTGGAATTGGGCACATTTATGATGAAAGAGACTATGTGCATTGGGTTTGCGTAGTAGTTGTAGTACAGCACCTAGTTACAGTACAGTAGTACAGTGGCTTAACATAAATACGCCCAATTATATGCACTAAGTATAAGGGCATGCCAATACTAAGTGGCTGATGTTTGAGCCTTTCTGCTCAAGAGAGTGTTGACTCAAAGAATTGATGTCTAACACAAGTTACAAGGAACGAAATTGGGTATAATAAACCTTCTCAGATTAAAGACAGAAATTTTGACATTACGTCATACTCATCGGTGTTAGTTTGTCTTCTTTGTGATGAGTATTTCTGTGTCAAAGAAAAATGGATAGATGGCGATGACGTAATGTCAACATCTCAGTCTGTAATACTGGTTAAGTTCAAAACCACCATACATTCAGATAATGAGCAAAATCTTATTTTTCAGAGTAGTCTTTTTCCCCCTATACAGACTATAATACATTCAGAAGTCTGACTGCAACTTTTAAAGTTGTTAATATTTTCTTAAATTAAAAGCACCGATAATAGACCTTGATTCTGATTCAGAAGAAAATTCTTAACATAATTTTACCCTAGTTGCAGACTCCTGGAAAAAGGCAACTCTGAACTCTCTCTGTAAATATGTACATTTACTCCAGGGGAAGAATACAAAATTTACCTCTTGCATTTAATAGACAATAAAAAAAAAAAAAAAATGAAAATGGAGTAATTTTTGCGATTCAAAAGTAATGGGCATGCATAGCAGGAAGATGCAATTTAATGTCAACATACTTTAAGGTAAAAAAGTAATTCTGACACAGTGATCGAGTTCCCACCGATTCAAAGTCGCAATGTGAAATGATTTGCGATTTCAAGATTGGAAATAATTGTGGCTTTTTTTAAAGGAAGCTCTACTTTATTCGTATTCCTAATCCCTTAAATATGAAGAGTGACTTCAGAAGGGTAACAAAAAATTTCTCCTTTCGAGAAATAATGAAATTTTACTGTTATATACTAATACTTATAGAGAATTTCTCCATTTTTTTTTTCATTATAAGGAATCTTGATACTTCCATGACTATTCGTATGAAAAGAAACGTCATGAAACTCATCTTAGAAATGAAACAAAACTTTTACTGACAAAATCCATACAGCAATTCAATTTTTCTTTCATATTTATGTGTGGTCTAATTCCTCTATTTCATTGATAATTTAAAGTTTTTTTCCTGATATCAAACACTTCTTGATATCGCTAAGTTTTTCTCATTGATGCTCTCCAGCAAATTTGGAGAAAGAAAAAAAATTAACACATTTGAAATGATCAAAACAAAGTCACTAACTACTGGTGCAAAAAATCTTACCTAAAATTCATGCGATTAATACCAACATCAAACAAACGTTGCCAAACACTGAACATGCAAAAGACATGCAGAAAAATCAATTAGAAATAAGTAAACTTCTCTCGGATACAAAACAAAAAAAAAAATTGAGAAAAAAAAAGAGTATAAAACGACTCAAAATTAGCGTTGATTGTAGTTTATTCTGGGATAATAAAATACATTGACTGAAGAAAAAAGACCTTAGGCGCCTCTCAACATTACGAATGATTAATTGGTAAGATAAAAAAATAGTTGAACAAAAAGCAAAACCATCATTTTATTTAGTTGTTCCATTTTGCTTGGTTTGGAATGATAATTTTAAAAACAGTGAAATAGACAAATGTCCACTATTTTAGGGGATTTACTATTCGGCAAATCCAAATTTTTGGGGGTTTATCTCAGTGAGCAAGGGTTGTATGGTCTTAAAAGTTTTGGTTGGAGCCTTCTTCTTTTCACTGCAACTTATCGTTTGCCTGACACAGCGGTCATGAACATTTTTTAAAACTTTTTACAATTACTATCAATAAAATCCTAAGTTCACTGTAAGGAAAAATCACTGAAATTGAGTTTCAAAAGATGGAAGATCATTGAAATCGTATACTTCAATTTCATGCTTTAACATTTTAAAAAAATAAAAACAGCATGTATTTTCCAAAAGAAATTTTTCCTTGGAAATCTCCCAGCAAATCGAGGAAGCTTATACTTTTCTAGTAAACTTTCTGTTACTGTAAAAATTAAGTCACAACATTGTCCGGGAGAAAATTGATTCCAAAGATATTCCTCTCCCTGAAAACACAGTGCAAAAAATTCTTCAATAATTGAAAAAAAGAAAAGAAAAACTAGATTGCTCTGGCATTACAATTCAGGGAAGAGAAATACATTTAGAGGAAAAAGGAACTGACAGGGACTCGACATCAACACGCTGATTGAGGCGATAGACAGTGTGCCGAACACAGTAATTGGGATTAACATCGAAGTTATCGAGAGCACAGAATTTGCTCAAAGGGCGATTCATTTGTTTAATTCTTCAGAGGGATAATTATTTTACAATAAAAGCCTGAGGAAACAATATAAGTCACTGAAATGAACATTCATAAGGAAACAAGATGAGAATAATATCGGATGAGACACCTAAAAACCTGAAACCTGTTGAAAACGATGGGCACTTGAGACATTCATTAACAGGTATACAGTTACAGTACACACAATATTGAAATTTTATGATGCGCTGAAATAAGTATACCTAATGTAAGGTGAATTTCCACTGGCGTGTGCCGGGGAAAGCGACTCCTTCGGATTGAATCGAATAGAATCAGAATCGTCGTCCGGCGTATGGAGTTTTGGGATCACAAACTGCGTTCTATCATCAGGTCTATCTGAGAGTGGCTGGTTTACAAGGGTGTCCGTTGAATCTTGGTGCATAATGGATATTTTATTAAAATCCATTGAATCCTCACCAGGATCCTCACTTGGGCTGAATGAATGACAGAATAGGTAAGCAAAAGTGAAGAAAACGAGTAGAAAAGAGAAAAAAAGAGGGGATAGAGGAGAAGTCGTTCAAAATTTCAAAACTAAAATTGCAGATTTCAAGTTATGATAAATAGCATTTGAGCATTCGCTTAAACTCAAGGATCTACTGCAAACAAATTAAGTAAATAGAAATAAAAGAAACAAGGTATAAAACTCGTGTGAGAATAAAAGCTAGGTGTCGATATAGTAGTAATTTTTAATGCTGGCCTGAAATCCATTAGAAATTAGCACCAAGCTGGCCCAAATGTTATCATGCAATTAGAATGACCCCTGAATTGGAGGAAAAAAAAGAAAATAAAAATCAAAATAAATGTGTTGTTTCATATTGAAAATAAAAGTTCTGAATAGTATCATGTTATGAATATAACTTGTACTAGTAAAACATGGCATAACACCTGTGTTTAATATTTTTGGACCTACATTCTAAAATGAAGGTGAAACTATGTACATGTATAATTGAATTTGAAATTCTGATAAAAAATAAAGAAGCAAATATTTCATATTTTATGATGAAATTAAATAAAGACTTGAGTTAAACTGTGAAAACAGGAGCTGATCCTTGTCATTTCTACACCATTTACTTTGATAAAATACTCATTTGTTCAGATCATTGTTGATTTAAAATGAGGAGAGATTTCCAACAGTATACATTTTTAGAGAAAGTAAATTAAATAATGATTGTCTACAAGGTGTAATACAAACTCTGCAAAACACTGTGAGAGAAAACTTTGTGAAATGTGGCACACAGTATCATTGTATGCAGAACTCAGGACAAATTCAAATAAATTAAGTCAAATAAAATTTTGAAGGAAGGTAGATACTCCATGAGATAGAGTTTAAAATATACTTGCAAAGGGAAAACATGATGCGTCAAGATGTGAAAACTCTGTGGAATAAGACTAAATCTCTTCAAAAACAAGTTTCTAAAGTGAAATTCCATTACCTCAGTTCTGGGGTTGTTTGACTATTAGAAGGTTGTTGAGGTGGGAAATTGGATGGTTCGTCATCAGGTGTTTGAGGCAGAGCGTCGAGAACAAATAACATTTCATTGGCAATGTCTGTTAGGTAATGCAAGTGCTCTTGAGCTCGATCCACACGGAAGAATCTCTCAGCTGTACAAGCTGGAAAATATCAGATAGGAATTAGCTACAAAAAAGGAAATATACAACAAAGTAAACCTGCAATTGAAGCTTTTTTGTTTCGTTTGCATTATGGCCTTCATTACTTCAAACAAATGGACTTTTTCATCTTTTGGACTATTTTTCAGCTATGGGAAAAACCAAGAGTTTCACAGTGCTATGTCAAGACTATTTACGAGATGCAGGATCACAGGATTTTTTAGTTCTACAAGAAATTTCCTGATGATTCCCAGATTATTAACTTCATGCTGCATCAATGTGTCTTTGGTGTCAGATTGCTTCACGCAGATATGCATCTTGGAGAGTTTATGATGCTTTACAATAAGACATGCAATCAACAGTTTATTTTCCAGGCACATAATTTTGATAAAAACATTTTTCATTTTGAATCTTGATTTTGCAGTTGCGTCTTTTCCTCAAAAACACTTCCTGGAAATTTGCAGGTTACCTCCCAATAAAAAATCTTTGAAACGCCATAACTTGCATGATTTTTTTACCAAGTAAGCTCCTTTAGGGCTTCTATTAAAGCTAATGAGAAATGAAGTATCCTCTATAGGGATAACACAAGTCGCATTTTATTAGCTTTCAAAGAAGTATTGCTGTGGTTACCAAGTCCTAGGTGAAGGAATAGGTAGAGCAAAGTTATCTATATTTAATCTTAAAATATGTCTCAAGCTTTCTTGCGACTCAACACCATCATCAAAGATAAAAGTTTATTAGAGATAACATATTGGATGAGAGGACTGCACTGAGAGTCACTGGTGATTTTAGAAAGTTGGTAGTGCTGCTTTTCCTAAGTTTGAACATGTTACTTTTAACATCCATAAAATGGATTTAAAAGCCAATTATTGGCTTTCATTGTTCGCTTGTACAAGAGCCGGTTGAATTACTTTTGGAACAACCTGTGTATCATGTCTACATAAATACCTGAAATATCCCGGATATATGTTCTGGATGTAGTGTTCTAATTCTGACTTTAGTGGGAGCAATTTATTGCAAGATTCCAAATTTTCGAAATTTTAAATCTGGACTTTCGTAATGCCAACCTCCTCAGCGAATAATGACAATGATATTACAGTCCCCACCACAAACTGTGGCAAGTGCGGAACAAAGTTGGTGACTTGGGGTATTGCTTGAGGGTTGAAAAATAGGTCTACTCGCCCATTCAGGCAATTCAGGCTTCCTGAAGTCAAGCAAACCTTAAACAATAGAGATACCTGATCACCAGACACTGCCCTTCACTGGATACTTTAAGTGGTGTGCACTTAAAATGATATAACGGTGTGAAAACTTCTTTTACCAATGAACTATTTGTTGACACTACTTCATGAAAAGATTAAATTACATGTTATTTGACTTTGTTCAACTTACAATCTACAAAGCACCAATCTGGGGTAAGTTTTGGAATGATTTCTCCAGACTCAGTCGTTTTAGGTGGTTCTTCTTGCAATTTGTTGATTATTTGCCTTACTTGTTCTAAATCAGCACTTGGATTAACTTCAATTTCGCCCAGGCACATAGCTGTAATTAAAAAAAAAAATATTAAATTCAGAGATAATGTTTATTTCTAATTTGATTGTCATCTGAGTAAAGCTGATAAGACCAGTCATTTTTCCTTGCTTCCCTGCATGAAAAAAAGGTAGGAATTTTGACTTAAAAATTAAAACAACATCAAGACAAAGGTAGACAAAAATTAAATATAAGCCAAGAAATATTCCAGAAGAGGTGCAAATACAGATTAAAGATCTTACACACTTCATTTCATTATGAAAAATTACAGATATGTTTGAGGAGAGGCTTGGTATTGTCATCCCCTTTCTTTATGCTGGAATTGGCGAGGTGCAAAATGAGGACTTCGATTTGCGGAAAAATAGAAAAAAATTAATTGAGAGCATATTCAATTGATATTTCAAATCCTTTGCTTAACAGATAACTGGACAAGGTACACATTTCAGCATTTTAACAGGAATTCTTTTTAAAGTTTGAATAGAAAATAAGTTACGCATTAGACATTTTGTAAATAAACTCCTGAGATTATGAAGTATTATACATTCATTACTTAAAACCATTCATGACTCGCTTTTCTGGAAAATTTGGCACTTTTCTTTTTCTTGAACTCGGTACAATTAAATGTTTTTTCATTAGCGTATTGGACTTGCCTTATTTGCTATTTTGTAAGCTTATGAAAAATTGAAGATAAAACTGGCAATGAATAAATAAATCAATTTACGTACTTACTGAAATTCTGGTAAAAAACCAGAGAATACCATTACTCTTTTTAATTTTGTGTGGTTCAATACCTAGTGCACAGGCCCCAGCACTCTTGTAGATCACACAAAAATAAATAGCTGGAGATATAGTTCAAGTAAAATATCAACAGTGTAAGTCGGCAATCACATGACTTGGTTTGTGACGTCGCAGACTTCCTGTCATACATTATTTTTTAAAAGGAAAACTACTCAATGGCAATTTTTTAATTGCCGTGATTTTTCTTCTCTATGTGAAAAGATTCTGCAAAAACTTCAAGGAATGATGCCAATCATTTTCCTTTAAAAAATAACATTAAGGCGGAGATTTTTAGACACTGCAAACGACTTATGTGATTGCCAACTTACACCGTCGATGTGTAAAATATTAATAAAATAAAAGGTAAATAAAGTGATTGATGATTTACCTGATTGCCTTAGTTTCTCCTTATCATAGTGGTGTTGCTCATAGTCCATCATACTTATTCGTTGAATACTGACTTTCAACTGATCTAATGTTGCTTGTGAAACATTTGCTTTACCACCTTTCCTCTTAGCTAGCATTTGAGCTTTATTGAGCAAATTTAAAGATATGATGGACGGATTCAGTCGGCAAGCCTCACCATCTACTTGCATGGGAATTGTTTTACCAGTCACCATTTTGGCTGACTTACACTGGCAAATACTGGTTCCGTGTCCTCCAGCTTGAAGAAGGGGCTAGAAAAGACACGAACAATTTTATATAATTTCCCTCTGATACATAAAATTTTCTTTTCACTTTTTCTTTAAAGTTCTTCATAGGTTACCTTTTTAGCATTTTGCAAATTCGAGATTTTTTGCTCAAGAACATGTATTTTGTGCTTTACACAGAGGCACAAGAAGACACAAGCAAATGGAAATTTGTTCACGCACAAAAATTGTTGCTAAATTCAGTTGAGTTGCTAAGTTCAGAGAATTTTCTTGTTATCAAGTGGTGACAACTTATTGAAATATTAATGGTCAAAGTGCAAAAACCATGTATCTCCATTTACGACGTTGCAGACATCCTATTATCCTTCATTTTTTTCTTTCAAAAGCTAGTCAATGTAATTCCTTGAAAACTTCCTTGATATTTCTTCTCTGTTGGCAGAATATTCTGTGTAAATTTCAAGCCATAAAGTTGGCTTGTTTAGATTAGAAAAAATAAATTAGGAGCGAAAATTTTGAAACAAAGCAATGGAGATACTTGATTTCGCACTTTGGTCATCGATAAGAGAATCAGAATATTATGATGATGTAATTGAAGAGTGTGGTGGATGGAGAGGGTGTGTTCCATTTTAGTGATATTAGGAGAAACATTTTGTTTAGAGGCAAGGAAATAGCACATAAGCTTACGACAAAAATGAGCTATAAACTTCAAGGCAATAATAATGAGCTCTAATTTTCAATTTTTTACCAAAACACACCCTTGGATGAGATTTAGTTACGGAACCTAAGGCGCGTCTTTGTGCAATGTCTGGACGCCGGCGGAAAACGCTGCTACCGAGTCTAGGGCGAGAAGACGCTCACATTTTGGAGCACAGCACCTAAGGAGCAAAATTTGTGGAATTTTTCCCCTACGTCCACTATCAATTTCTCGAATTTTTGTTGATTGGACCAGTATGTTTTGAGACTTGAAAATGATCGGACGCACTTTTTTCAGGAGAGTACGGATTCGATTGACAAGAATCGACCGAAAAATGATAATGGGAATCAATCGACAAAATAATCGATAAATTATTAGAAACCAGTGTCGTTTTGATAGGCATGAATTGATTGAAAAAAGACTTGAATCGATCGTCGGGAAACGATCAACAATACCAATTTGATCGACGATTAATTTTTTTAAAAAAAAACGGTATCAATTCAATTGATATGAATAGTTCAAAAAACCAAAACGTGAACTGATCGATGATTCGATCAACTCACAGCTTTGTCGATCAATTCACAGCTTTTGTCAATCGATTTACAGGTTTGTCGATCGATTCATGGCTTTTGTCAATTGATTCACGGGTTGGTCGATCGATTCACGCCTTTTTCGCGGCTCCGATCTGTTGGCGACAGATCGGAGCGTCCTCCATCGGCATTTTCCGCAGAGTCCATCCACCGCTAAGGTGCTGTGCCCACACAAAAACATCAGGTAATTTGGTTCAATTCACTTGATTTAGACTTACCAGCTGATATGTTGTAAGGCCAATAACTTCGATGAGACCATCATCTGTTGCTGGTTGAATTGTAGATGAACCCGTGTTCCAAGGTCTAGTACCTCCACCGTAACTTGGAATGTTTAAGAAAACTATTGCATGAACTCTATGCTCTTTTAGTTTAGGAGTTAGATCTTTGCCATCGCATTCTAGTGTTACAAAGTCTGCTAGATTTTTCCATTTTCGCCGGAGTAAATCCTTACCACCCATCTGACCATAGAACATCTTGTTCCGCAGTCTGGAGTTGAACCGTTCAGGATGAGCCTCTGGAAATAGAAAAAATATTATTAATAACTGAGTTTAATTAAATTAGTGAATTACAACTCACGTATTGTCCCGCAAAAAGTGGTTGAAAAATTTTGTCACAATGTTACCTACTGCCAATATGAACGTTACTCCAGTGATAGTCTCGGCACTTACTAGGTTGGGTTTATCGCACACCGATAAAAAAATTCTGAACTCTTTTGAAAGATCTTGGAAATTTTTGCAGGTCAATAATGCATTAGAACATTGACCTAGGGTCACACAAGTACATGAAAATATAATGACGATATAATCACAAAAACTTAGGGTGAGTAAACTTACAACAATATAGCGAGATGTTCAGTATTTTATTTAAAAGGAAAGGTTAATGACAAAATGAACATCACTTCTTTCTTTTCTTGACAAGCGATAAATGCGATAATCAAAAGAATAAACTCAACAATATACACCAAGGAGATAGGAATAGGAGGACGAAAGCGTGAAACTTTGAGGTTAGAGGTTTTGTTTACACATGTTGGGTTGCCAACTTTTCACAGATAGGTGTCTTTGTCAAGAATGCAATAAATTCGAAATCCCTGATTAGATTTGTATTGAATTACGAGAAAAACTGTAGCATTGTTATCTGAGAACAATAGTGGTAAAAATTTAGAGTTTAAATTGCTTACTTCCATATACACATTATGCGTATTTACAAATTAGCACCCCGAAACCGGCAACCTTGCAAGCGCGCGAATATTACTAGCGCAGAATTTAAATTTAAGCGGGAAAATTTAAAATGACGCTCTTTCCTCTGCTGTGCGACGATACAAGGTGATACAAAAGTCCCTTCCCTGTGCGGTCACCGGTCGGTGCAAAACGCATATTAGCGCCTACAAGAGTGCAGGAATGCTTCACGCATTGCGTCTAACACAGTGCGGTCACTGGTCGGATTGAGACGCATAAAATTAGGGCCTACAAGACTGTAGGAATACTATGAGCATTGCGCGTTTGACTGGACAAATGCATAGAGAAAAAAAAGGAGGTGTTTGCATTTCGGGCATCTTGGAATTTATTTGATGACGTAGGTCGGCACAGCGACTTTTATCATCGATTTTCTTGGAAATGGTGTAATTTATGGAAAAAAGTCATTCTATAAAAAGTGCTTGAAATTATATCATGAGTTGAGTTTAAGCAAAAAATGGGGCATTATGGTCCGTTTTTCATACTTCGAATTCCGGATTTCGCTGGCCACGTTGTACCGACCTACGTCACAGGGTAAACAAACCTCAAGATGCAGACACCTCCTTTTTTCTCTGTATGGGACAAATGACAAAACTTTACACGGTGAAATTGTTCAACAAAAAATTACCCATTTCATACGTAGAAATACGCATGTTATGAAAATTCAATTGCGAGACTAATTAGTCGAGTGATGTCGTCACCTTCCAGGCAAAGTATCACAAGCGCCTGCGACGTTTAAAAATTTCCGCCGCCATTTTATTTTTTTACTGAGAAATTGTTGGTTGAATTTGTTCGAAAATTTCACTAAATTTTATCGGCAGCACAAAGAAAATTCGGTGTAATTTTCGGACAGCTTCGTTGAACAATTTCTCTGTAAAAAAATAAAATGGCGGCGGAAATTTTTAAACGTCGCATGGCGCTTGTGATACTTTGCCTGGAAGGTGACGATGTATCTAATGGAAAAGAGAGAGAGAGAGAGAAAAGGAGCTAACCAGGTCTCTAGGGTAATTTTTCTCGAAAACACCAAAAATGAAGTTTACGGTGAGAAATATAGACGAATGAGCGTGTCACAGTGAAAAAAAATCTTTCCTCTCCCTCTTCTATCTTTATGTCACCAATTTTGCTCATGTATTAATTTATTTCTCTTCATTTCTTTCTTCCTTTCTTCTATAATCTCAGGAGAGATAATCCTGCGCCTTGCCGTCTCTGGAGGCCCCCCCCCCGCCCATCCCTAATCAAGCCAGTCCCATCAAACCCGGGTGACCTGGCCGAAAGTCGAAACCGAGACTTCCCGATCATAGAGCAAGCGCTACGACCAAAATGGAGATTTGCATGCAAACATTTCATTGCTTCATCTGAAAGTGCTTAAAGGGCTGATTTCACAGTATTTTTTATAATTTTTTTCTGATGTGGGAAATGGTATAAAAATAGATATAAAATTGATAAAATCCACCGCCTAGTGACGTCATCTGGCGGCATTTCCCATTTAAACACATGCATTATAGCAGATTAGATCATTTTGTCACATCTTCTCCGATAATCGTTCAATTCGTGAACCAAGGGTATCCTCGTGTTCAGTTAACTCAGTAATTTCCACTTGAACACGAAATTAATCAAATACAGACACCTGCAAATTCTCTTTTAGAGAACATTAGCATTTCAGTAAACTTACCTCTGGCTTCATGAAATTCTAAGGCTATGTGAGCATCCACTCCTAAGGAGAAGTAGTTATTGACAACATTCAAAGGCAGATTATCCTTCCCCTCCTCGTTCGGCTGCGCGTCATTGTTTTTCTCAACCTTCAATTCCCACCTGTCCAATTGTATGATTTCACTTTCACCGATATTGCAAAGAATTTTTGAAATCGGCTCATCCGTATAACCCTGAAACAGAAATATTAGATTGATTAATAATAAAATAGTAAGCCAAAGATTCATATCGACAGTCGGCAATCACATAACTCGGTTTGCGATGTCGCAGACTTCCTGTCATACTTCATTTTTTAAACGGAAAACTACTCATCGGAAATTCTCTAAAATTGCCTTGATTTTTCTTCTCCGCGCGAAGAAAATTCTGCATTAACTTCAAGGAATGATGCCAATTTGTTCTCCTTTGAAAAAATAACATAGAGACGGAGATTTTCAGACACCGCAAACGAGATATGTGATTATTCGGACTTACGCCGTCGATATTTTTCATTCTTTATTTCTACACAAGTGCTAATGCATTTTGGGAAACTCGTCCCATCCTCAGAGCATTACAGTACAGTTGGTGGATACAATTTTAAAAGATGCTACAATTTTAGTTAGATATTCGAAAAACAGAGTTGATGTATAAGAGGCAATCCACGATATAGACTTTCACAAAAGACAATACAACTTTCCATATCATGCAGATTCAACTTGGAATCGAGATTATTCAAAAAAAAATATCAATTTCAAACAAGCGTCCACAGCGTCCTCTGCATGTGCTCCAAAATCTCCATCTAGATGCATTTCTCCCCTTTCTTTCTCTCCATATCTCCAAAAGTAATTATTGTAAAATGGCACGAGTATTTTCATGATTTCAGAGGATCCCTCCTTTTTTATTTTAATTGAACCTTTCCTAAATTAACACGATTTATTGAGTTTTTTTTTTTATCTCCAAAAGTCGATGTTACGAACTCGAGTTGATTTATTCTAAAATCACTTTGGTAATTTTACTTTGTTATGACTCCCAAAGATATTTTCACGAAACATATTCATTTTTCATCAAAGGATTCGGAACGAGCGATGGAGTGAAATGACCCTCACGGCATGCGACGCACAGTGGATCGAGTTACAGAGAGGTCGGTCATGAAATTTTTGACTAAAACTGCAAATTTTGGTATTTATTTCGTCTCATGTTACATTACAAGGGGTGCTTTAGGTAGACAATTTTACGAGGAAACCAACGGAACCACTTAAAGAGCCTCAGAGCTTTGTATAAACGGAGTTATTAGCGTTTAAAGTTTCCAATTGTCCGACCTCCCCCATTGACTTGATCCGCCTAGAGACCCTTTATACTGAGAGTCAAGACAATTCGGCTCATAGTCCAGGCGCCTGGTAGCTAAAAATGAGGCTACCTGGAATTTTGGGTACACAGCGATTTTTTTGGCTTACTTTATGTTTTTTGGGTCGCTGAATCCGAATCTGAAGTTTCCGCAGGCGTATCTGGTGAGCATTTTCCGCTATTTTGAAAAAATGGCCTAAAAAGGCCTTTTTTTGCGGTTTTTTTGATATAGCGGCTACGGATGAGGAAAAGTCCCGGATTTAGCTAATGTTTTGAATAGCTGACAAAATTTGGAAGAAAATGGTATATAAATATGCTAGGTTTGCTCAAAAATTGAGGAACCTCGGATTTCGGAACTTTAGAACGCTTCGGAACTTGGCTGACCGCGGCGAGCCGGATCGCGCGTTGACGGGTGCGCCGCGAAAACGTGAATAGGCGCGATGTTCACGATGCTGTATCTTCCTCAATTTTTAAGCAAACCTAACATATGTATATACCATTTTCTTCCAAATTATGTCAGCTATTCAAAACATTAGCTAAATCCGGGACTTTTGCTCATCCGTAGCCGCTATATCAAAAAAACCGCAAAAAAAGGCCTTTTTAGGCCATTTTTTCAAAATAGCGGAAAATGCTCACCAGATACGCCTGCGGAAACTTCAGATTCGGATTCAGCGACCCAAAAAACATAAAGTAGGCCAAAAAAATCGCTGTGTACCCAAAATTCCAGGTAGACTTACCAGGCGCCTGGACTATCATGGATGTCACAAACGGGAATAAAGATTACAGAAATTGAACGTTTTTCGTAATCTTTGATCGGCCCATTCTCAAATGCCTTTCTCCGTTCCTCCTCTCATTCCGTTTGTTCCTTGCCGAACCCGTAATTCCCTGGTCCATTCCAGATTATAATCTTTGCAATTGGTGAAAATGTAATCTTTATTCCCGTTTGTGACACTGTGGAGGCCTAAAATACGGGAACCAATCAGAAATGGATTCAAATTGTCTTGACTCTCAGTATAAAGGGACACTAGATCCGCCGTGCGACGACGAGAATAATACTCTCTCGAAAGGTTTGAGTGGGATTTTAGTGCACAACTTGGTGGCTCGGGTCTCGTGTGCAATCTCTACAGAACTGCGCTCCATCAATCATACAATATCCGTGAGGAACTGGAGCAGTTCCACTCTTATTAAGTACGGCTGCCTTAATTAGCGCGAACGTGCGCTCCGTTTTCGAAATGGCTTCGTTCGGGAGCGATCCCCGCCTAACTAATCTCCAGCCTGCCTTTTCCGACGTCAAACGGGGAGCGGGTAACGCACATGAAAAGAAGAAGGAAGCCAGTTCCATTTGTTATGATTTAAAATGACTCCCGGCCCCACGAGCCACGACTCGCTAATCCTGAGTTTGACCACCGCGCCACCACCGCGCACAGTCCGTCGAGTTAATAGGAGAAGTCGGACAAAATTTAGAAACTTTAAACGCTTATAATTCCTTTCATACAAAACTACGAGGCTCTAAAATTGGTTCCATAGGTTTCTTCTTTAAATTTTCTTCTAGAATCACTCATTAAAATTAAACATCAAAATTTCCAGTTTTAGTAAAAAATCTCATGTCTGACCTCTCTGACCATACGTTCTGAAATCCTAACGGTTGACAGAATGACCCCTAATCATGGATATGGCGCCAGACATTGCTTCATGAACAATAATATTGTAACAACTAGGAAGAGTAAATTAATGAAAAATCAAGCGATAACGTTTTTCAACACCTTGACCACCGAATTGAAAGTAACGTACAGGGAAGGTTCCGTTAAAATATTCCTTAACCAGTTGAAAATACAACTCAAAAATAAAGCTTATTATAGTTTAAAAGAATTTTTTGAGGAACCTGTATAATTTCATTTCACTTAAATTGCTTTAATTGTTGTAATTATTGTATAAATTGTAAATTTGACTCGTGCCAGAGCTTTTTTTACTATAGGCTGTATGCATCAATAAATTCTATCTATCTGTCTGACCGACTCGATCCACTGTGTGCCGTGCCCTGTTCTGAAAGTGACACGTCGTAACTATACCCTACATAAGTGGCGAGGCGTGAATGATCGACTCTCGATATTTCCCCATTTGAGGCTATGGTAAAAAATCGATTGGTAGGGTGCTCGTTGCGAACACCCTGTTTATCGATCCTTTTCCATAGGTTTAAGTGATAGATCAATCGATATATCGCAAAGCACTGCCCTACATCCTTCAGTTTTATTTCTCAACCCCTCGGAAGCTTCATTTCAAATTTTGTCGATTCGACTCGACCCCAAATGAAAATAAAGTTTTATATAATGAAGCTAGTCTTGGTCAAGTTTTTCATCTTTGAAGTCATTCTACGATAAATCGGACGTTGGAAAATAATTCGACCATAAAAAGAAAAAGAAAAATCGAAAATGTTACTGAAAGAAATTCTTCATATTCTATCAGTAGAATAAAAGCTTAATGCTCTTATTAATGGCTCTTTGAGGATCGGGTGGAAGAGGGATAACCTAGAGTACCTTTATGGACAGAGTATGGCCATTCGTATCTTTTTACTACAGGAAAACTGTTCCGCTTTTTGATTGGTCAACGAGTTTTTAGGCTTCATGATGCTCTTAGCGCCGTAAATAAACAAACAAGATGGCGGCTCACCGTAACATCGATGAGAAGCTAAATTTGACAAAAATTTCAAGTATGCGGCAGTAACAATTTAAACGAGTATATCTACGAATAGCACACGAAAAACACATGAAAACATTGTTAAATTGCCTTTCACCTTTATCACAGGAGGATGTAAGATGTGCATAACCTCAATCTTGCTTGCTGATAACGGCCATCTTGTTTGTTTATTTACGGCCCTAAGAGCATCGTGTCAGCCTATTTGCTCGCGACCAATGAAAAACCGGAACAGAAATGGCCATACTCTGTCTATAAAGGTACTCTAGGATAACCTACGTAAACTTTACAGCTTTTGTTATTGTTGTAGGTAGTTTTAAAGGTGAGGGGTTCGACATGCCAAGATGGATACTTCAAGGTTGAAGAAGTATTATGCCATCCGCGTTAAAATGTTATATTGAACTTGTAGTAGCGACGCAACGACGCTAGAAGTGTCGAGTACAGCTTACAGCGTAGGCGCCTTCAATTTTAGGCTATGCAACATGGACACCCATCAAGTACGAATAGTTGTATCGAGTTTTTTGAACTAGAGGCGCGGCGTATCTCTGCGTCTTCTAACTCCGGTACCAACTAACTGGAATCTGGTCTGAATTCCGTCAAAATTATGAGTGAGTAATAGTGCTGATTTATCATCTGTTCCCCTTAATTTTTCCACCAAACGCTTCCTCACAAATGCGAACGGCGCTTGCATACCGCACTGTCGCTTCGCGTTACTGTATCGTTCTGTAAGTGGTGGCATGAGGAATGCGTAAGCGCCTTCAATTTTTGACTATGCAACACGGACATCCATCAAGCACAAATAGTTGTATCAAGAAGTTGGAACTAACTAATTAATTAATTAACTAAGTAATTATTTCTTTTAAGAATCGAGTATTTATCCGGGATTGAGAATAATTCATTAAGCACGATTAACAATTAGGCAGATTATTATTATAATCAAACTGACACGAACAATCGAGTGAACGACAAAATATCGCACAATTAGCTTTCACTTCTTCTTCCTCTCTCAGTTGGTCTAATAGAGGTACGAGGACCATACTTGATAGTGGGTACTTGATCATTGACTAACTCAATATTTTACCCGACTTTGCAAGTACGATTTTTCCCTGAGACAAATCCAGGGAAAAGTCCCGCGGAGAAAAGGCTTATGAAAATATGCTGCCTTGCTTATACGTACAAAATCATTAATCGAACTTCGAATTATTTCCAGAAGGTTGATATTTGGAATTTTTTTGTGTTCTACGCACCAAATGAGGTAGAATCAACCTCTCCAACAACCTTTACTTCAGAATGTAAAATCACAAGTGAAACACTTAACGCCTGAGGCACGAGGCGCTTCGGGATTTGGATCGCGGAGCGATCAGTAACCTCCGGTATTGAAATAATCACATTTTTTTATTTCACAAGCGCAATGCCCTTTGCTAACACCATCGTACATGTCAGACGTGGCATCATTTATTTCCATTCACCGGTATCAACTGGACGTACATATTTCTATCAAACAGAACTATGTGGAGGTGGGAAAGATGGGGTCTGCTCATCAGTGATCGGGCCTTAAGAGTGAATGGGGAATGTAAAGCGCCGGTGACGAAGCCGTCGTCGCGGCTCCTCGTAGTGGTCATTAACTCATGAGCCCTGTTCACAGCGCTCTAGATACATGCCCATGGCTCATACACTATGCACATAGTTCCGTCTGACAGAATGTAAGATACCGCTTTTCCTATTCAGCAAACGGAATTGTGAGCCGACTGAATGCGGCACCCATGAGCCATGGGCATGAGTCTAGAGGGTTTCAGGACATTTTGTCAACGATTTTTTGTCCGCGCACCTTTTTTGTCCAGTAATTTACGCCTACGCGTAAAATAAGCAACGGTGACTTGGTTCAAGCGTTATATTTTGGTCGGTATGTAAAATTATATTGACAATATGGAAATGAGAAATTGAGAGAGAAGGAGGTGTTGTTATGGTTGCTCATTTTCTAAATGAAATGTTATTACTTTCTCCTTTTGAATCATCTTTTTAAATTGTCATTGGTGAATATTTGGTTTTATTTCTATCCTTAAAATATTGAATGTACAATATACCCTATATACGTATAGGTATACTTGTTTTATTTTGTTTATTTTTTCTTTACGAAATTATTACTTCATTTTGAAATTTTTTATACTTCTAAAACGTGACAAATATTTGTAAAACCTTTTCCAAGCGACATTAATCTCAATGAGCCGCAGTTGTGCCGAAAGAAACTGCAAAAATGAATAAAAGAGGGGGAAAACTAAGAGGCACGCAATCTTTAGTTTTAACCCATTTGTACATCGATCTCTGAGAGTCAAATACGTCAAATTTTGAGCGTTTGGTTGCGCGCACACCTCGCTGCAGCACGATAAAAGCATAAAATGTAAAAGAAAAACATTTAAGTGCTTTTGAAATCATTAAATTTGACACGAAACCACCAATATTTAAAAAACACATATACTATTATTATTCTCCTTTGATAAATTGATACATATATTTTCCCATCAATTTAAATGAGAATAATTATTGCAGCGTGTGCAAACATTTCAAAATCATGAGTTAAAAAACGCTGACTATGTGAGTATAAATATCAAAGCCTAACCGAGCGCTGCCAGCGTGCTCCGGCGTGCCGCCAGCGCGAGAGGCTCACTGGCGCCTACAAACCTAAGTGGATACTTCGCGCATTGCACAATGCTTGAAGTATCCACTTAGGTTTGTAGGCGCCAATGCGCGTTCCGCGCTGGCCGACCGCAGGCCGTGTGACGGCGCCTGAAGTAACTATTTCACAACAGAGGTGTTGCACAGTATCATACGAAATTGAACGTATTAAGAATGACAGGCATCCTTTAAAAGCACAGATCTTTCCTCGCAAAATAAATCAAGATACTTATCATACACCGGAAAAATCTAAGAGGCTTTAGCTTAGGCAAATATAGAGGTTTATCCGGTTCAGGTATAACAAGGTGGGAAAATCTTGAAAGATAATTAAGTCCTGTTACACCAAAGAGGTGTAGAGAGTTTTAGTAATTTTTTTTCATGGAATATTGACGCTCCCCCATTTTTACCAAAACTCTCAACTACATATTGTTCTCCGTTGGACCAAACAGACAGAACAAAAAACAAGCAAACCCTCATTCTTCCAAGACATTTTACATTTTCATCCAAAAACGTCATGAGCAATTGTCGTTTGTATTTACATGTGGGCCAATTACATTTGGGTCTCAACTGGCACGCGGACCAAACCACCCGTGCCGAAAAAACTCGTGGACGTATATTACTGGAAAAAACAGGTGCGCGGACAAAAAAACGTTGACGAAATATCCTATAACCGTCTAGAGCGTTATGAACAGGGCTCATGAGGGGCCTACCACAAGGAGCCGCGACGACGGCTTCGTCACTGGCGCTTTATATTTCCCATTCATTCTTATGGCCTGAGCACTGACGAGCAGACCCCATCTTCCCCACCTGCACATAGTTCTGTTTGATATAAATGCGCCCAACAATATCGAATCAAACCTAAAAATTAAACCTCCAATAAAGTCCTGTCGAGTGGTTGATTCCTGGCTGAGACGGAGGCCTGAAACAATCCAAGTGTGAAACGGGGAACGTGAAAATGCAACAGCCTCTGGATGACTAAGAGGGGACTGGAGCTCAACGCAGTAATTGGGCTCATTTCCAGGCTCAAGCTCGCTCATAGCGAACCTCGGCGAAAGCTCCCGCTCATTCCAACTACAAGCCCTCGCTAATCAATAACCGCGCAACTGCAATGAAGACATCGCACAGAGCTGTGTTTTTGCTCTCCGCAGCGGTACACTTGTTTGTTTACAGCCCCCCGATTGTTGTCCCGGCTCACTCCCTCATGATAATCTACAACACTCATCGTGGACCCCACAAGCTACGCACAGTGGATCCAGTTAATTCGGAGTAGTCGGACATAAAATAGTTGACTAAAACTGCAAATGCTGATTTTTGTTTCGTCCCTATATAAATTTCATAAGATATTTCATGAGGAAAATTTCACAAAAAACCAATGGAGCCACTTTTAAAACCTCAAAGTTTCGTATAGACGGAGTTATATGCGTTTGAATAAGTTTCCGAATTTTGACCGACCTCTCCTATTGACTCAATCCACTGTGCGACGACCTGTTGTATCCACAACCCCCGCCCCCCATTTGAGAGACCCTCTCCAGGTTTGTTTCAAAAATGTTTAAGGCTCATTTTGATACGGACCCGGCTGTTTTTGTTTCGGCGGAATTTCCACATGTCCACCCATTGTTCGGTAATCCTCGCTAAGCAGAATATGGACTGTTTTTAGAGTCAGTTGCGGAAATTAAAGGACTTAGCGCCCTCGAGCATTAAATATTGTTTTCAAACGCTTCATAATCTTTTTGGAGGCTTACAAAGGGGAGAAAGCTTTCCAATTTGTATCTGTTAAAGAGTTTTCCTTTCCTTTTTTCCCTTTTTATTTCATGAATTTAGCGAGTATTTACTCCCGGAGCAAAAATGTCAGGATTAGAGGGTGGTTTCACTTGCATCCTTTGAAATGTTTAGATGAGCAGGTACATATTTAAAAACCCGTATGCTTTTTGTAGGCTTATCAAAAAAACATTCCCTTTCAACGACGAAAATAATTTATCATCGGATAGTAAAAAGGAACCAATGTATGCCCCATGGCGAACTTCTGCACTCCATGTGGTTTTTTAGAAGAATATTTTCATAAATATGAATTTTCATGGGTACTTCAAGCTCCTTCTTTTTAATCAGATCAATCATAATATACTTGGTCTCGACATAATGTTGGGTTAAATCGACCGTAGGTGAATCTGAGGCATCTGCGGATGCAGGAAGTGTCCTGCTAACGTACTATTGTTTCTTTTCATTCATGACACTCAGGGGTTGCGAATTGAGAGTGACTAGCGCACTAGAAAATTACATTTGCAATCCAGATTTGATTCTGGTGGCTCGCGTTTAATTTTAAACGAGGTTACTCGACCCAAAGGTTTGGTCAATTCATTCTGAGGAAAACCCACCCCCCCAAAAAACAAAAAATTTCCGCTCGTTTCGGTTACTTTGCGTTTTACTACTCGTATTAAACTGAAATAGGGGTTACTTTTTCTCGCTGTGTGTAAGTTTGACATTTTTTTAGGTCTGAATGTTCATGGAACACTCATTCAAGCAAATCACTGTTTTAAATTTATCGACACTACAGTTTTTTCTTAGTTACAAATTAAAAGTGCGACCATTAAAAGCAAACAACTGTTTTGAGTTTACCGATACTAAAATTATTTCTTGATCACAAGTTAAGACGCATGGGTATATGGGTGGAGAGATAATAAAATATCACTTGTACACGACGGAATTCAAACCAGATTCTAGGTAGATGGTACTGCAGTTTTATGACGCGAAGACACGCCGCCGGCCGCAGCGCAGCGTGCTGTTGGTTCAGGCGCCTTGATACAACTATTCGTACTTAATGGATGTCCATGTTGCATAGCCTTAAATTGAAGGCGCTCACGCTTCCTTCATGCCGATTGCTTATAGGAACGATGCGGCGCGACAATGCGATGTGCGAGCGCCGTGCATTCTTGAATGGCTAGTGCGTTGGGCTATCAGCACTACCACCAATGCGATCGAGGTTCGATACTGGCGGTTCGTGTTTGGTTTTTAACGAGGTTGCAAATTTACAACCGAAACATGTGCTAATTTTACCCGAAGATTAGGTCAATGTAACTCAAAGAAAACCCGACCAAAAAATAGAAACCGTGCAATGGGCCCGTTGCACATTTTTGCTAGGGCAAAAATAGGAGTTGTTTCTCATGGAAAATGTCTAAACAATCAGGACGAGCGGACTGGCAAATTCTACACTACAAACTTCACAACCTGCGTAAGAAATTTGATTTTTTGAGCACCCCTCTTCAAAAACGACACCGCTTCACAGGTGAAAATTTCGTTAGAAGAGTTGTTCCATTCAACCCCTGGGCCCTAAGATGCTAAGCAATATTCAACATTGCCGACAAGCCCATACGCAATTTTGCATTACCATCTCTGCAAAAAATAGAGGATTCAAGGATGTCGGAACGAGGAAATGGAATTAATTACTCACCCCACCCCATCCAAGAGCTCGGGCAAGGTCGTTCCCCGTACCAAGGGGCAGAACACCTACAGCTGGTGGAGGCGAAAAGGCCAACTGATCGAGGATTGAAAGCACCCATCCAGCTGTCCCATCTCCACCGCACGCCAGAACTCGTAGATTTGGCACTTTGCGAAAGAGCTCTAACCTGAAATCACACATATAAATTGATGTTTTAGTAATTTAAAAAGAGGAATGGACGAAACATAATGATACCCAAATATTGGCAGCTAGAAAAGCGTGTTCAAAAACAGGATGATCGAAAAGTTCAAAGTCGATAGAGGAACTTACTCGAAATTCCTGGCATTATGCAAATGCACACCTTGCTACAACGATTATATTGGTACTATGTCGAGATATCACTGTTACCAACGAAGTACCAACGTGATGCTATCATGGTACCGACTTGGCTTCAACAATATTCTATGTTGGTGCCATGTCGATCACTTATGGGCAATTTGACCAATGTGGTATTTTTGTTGGTGCGATACTCAAACCATAGTGATACCATGTTTCATTCGCATACATGGTTATCATATTATTTTATCTTGTTGGGAATCGATGAAAAGTGAAAGCTGGATATTATTCTGTTCTTTTTCCTCAATTTTACAGTTGGTGAGAAACTCCCATGAAATTCTATTTGTAAAATTTTATTAATCGTTGCGTCTGATTAGAGGAAAATTCGTTTGCATTTTAGGAAAATTTTGTGCCATTGCTTTATTTTTAAAATCAAATAGGTATGCCATTGCTTTATTTTTAAAATCAAATAGGTATGCCATTGCTTTATTTTTAAAATAAAACAGGTATGCCATTGCTTTATTTTTAAAATAAAATAGGTATGCCATTGTTTAGTTTTTAAAATAAAATAGGTATAGTATTTTACCACATGAGTAAGTGAACTAACGAGTTTTCTCTTTTGTGAAAAAGATATATGTATGCTTTTGAAAATAAAATAGTGGCATAAAATTATAATAAAATTTTATTTAATGCAAATGAATCTGCAATTCCTCATACACAATAAGAAAATAAAATTGTAAAAACAAAAAATTATTAAAGTTTCTCAAGAGTTGAAAGAGTGTGAGAGAGAGAGAGAGGAAAACATAAACCTACTTAAATTCGCTATAATTTTAACAGATGATGCAAGGAAAAAGGGTGGAACAAGTAGATAATGTTGTAATATAGAAGCAAAGCTTTTTTCAAAGCGCGCCGATTGCATAAGTGATGGTAGAGGAATGCACTTATTTTAGAGTGTTCCCCGGCAACTTTGGCCTTTTACACCTGACACTTGACGGAAAATAAGAGGGAAAATTGATTTGTTACGAGGGAAGAATAAATCAAAACGCTTTTTACGACCTGAAATATTGAAAAGTGAAGCTTCTAATATCGCAAAAGATTTGGGGAGCATCGAAGCGCGAGCTGCAAACTTTATATTTGCAGAAAATTACCGGAGAGGAAGGCTGCTTTACGAGCAATTTTTCCCATTAAAAACGAGCACTTAAAACCAGTGCTTTCAAGAGGAACATTTCTTGAACATGCTGCGTTTCCCCTTTCATTTTTTATTTATCGCACTCAAAACTCCAAAGGAGTCTAAAGTATGAATTATCTTTCACAAGGCATCATTAATAAACTATTCACTTCACTATTCAACGTCATTATACTAAAGGTTTCCTACTGGAAACGGCGAGTGTAGGGAAGTTCCGAGATTTCATGAATTGATAAAGATGAGCACTCTACGACTAAAAAAAAAAGAAAAAGGAAAAAACTCTGGCAAACGACTCTCCGCTTCTCTATCAGGTTGAAACGCTAGGCCTCGTAAATGCAAACTTCTTTGAAATTATTTTTGTCAAAATGCAGTCCGACTTTCAATTAACTGGGAAGGACGCAGCGTCGCGTCGTAGAGCATTATCACTTTAAGTGACTCTTAACTCGACGACTTTTCCTTTGAATAGCCCATAAGCACAATTTAACGGCCATAAAGCGGAAGATAAAACGTCATGTTTTTCCTTTTATAAAAGGCTCTCAAAAGACAACTCGCGATAATGGTACGCGTTATTTTTGTGACCGTTTACAGGAGGACGGAACTTTTTCCATTTTTTTTCCCCATGCGGAGGAAAAATTTACAGTTACGCAATTTTTGTCAAGGTAGGTCGAAAAATCAAATTTTGAGAGTGCTATAAAAAACTCTCTTTAGGGTCCTAAAAAAAGGTAGCGTGCGGTTCAATTTATTTTTTTTTTCCCAACAGAGCTAACAGTTGGCATTACAATCCGGCAAGTTCGTACCCTGAACATGACAGATTTGAATCCTGAATAGCGTTTCTTAGAACTGACTTTTTTTAAACAAAACTCCTTTGCATTCGGTTTGGTTTGACGTTTTTGGGCGTTTTCGTTGGTGAATACATTTTTCTCGTCATCAGCATTCTCGATCAGCACTAAAATGTATACAATATGCAAGGCTCCAGGAATGGAATGCCAAAAATAGAAGTGTGTGAAACGACCAATCAGCAAGGAATCGCTGTTAGCAACAGCCTATCTTTAAATTTTGAACATATAAGTAAAAACTCACGTTTTCACTGGGAATTCTATTATTTGGACGCGTTTCGGCGGCTATCCAGGCCACTATCATCAGCTGACTGCCTATTTTTATCTCACTTAGCTGCCCCACTCACCGAGTCACAAACTCGTTATTTGATTCATTGCCTTTAATATTGCGTTTTCATTCTATACGTATAAGGATCACTGGAGTATGGTGCTGAAACTCCACCCTCATAGCAAAAATTGCACACATCTCTGAAACTAATGAAATAATCGCCGATTCCGGAGAGGTTTAGAGAGCAAGACGTGACGCGTAACGTAAGAACGCACGGCGTAATTAAATTCTATAACTAAGAGGGTAGATTCACCCGAGGGCGCGTTCACTATTGACATCGAGGCATGAGGCAACTAAACAAGACTGGATCGTCACGGATAACTCGGCATTTAATTGCTCAGACTAAAGTCGCATCTTGACTCGACCCCCTTTTGGTTCCCATGGACCCGACTCGAAGGCAGGGCTCCCGTAGAGGCAGCTCTACGGACGCCGTATTGCCGCAGGCAGCCGTTTCCCAAGTCGTTTCAGTTCTCACGTTGTTGCCGCAATTATCTTTGACCATTTCACACGGGTCTATGATTAAGATAGATTTGCCGCACGTAAGATTTGCTCATAAATATATAGATTTATTTAAAATGAAACTGCACAAGAATCATGATATACGGGTTTAAACAATTTAATACCCATTCTTTTTTGATGTCTATTTCTGAACAAACCTTGTTGCTGTCAGCGAAGGAATCATTTTCCACGTGCGCGGGACTTTTGAACACGTTAAGCAGAAAGGAACCAAGCCACATCAGATTATGCCAAATTTAATTGGGCAATTTAGTTTTTAACATGAAAACTGTTGTGCGGGTTTTAGTGCAAATTTTAATGAATTTTCTGCATAGTAAAAAGTTAAATTCGTTAAAATTTTCAAAGGAGTCCTCACAAACATTCTCTTGTGAAAACTTGAATTGCCCGGTTAATTTTGGCAATAGCTGATGTGGCTTGGTTCCCTCCTGCTAAACGCGGTCCATTTGAAAACGCAAATTGTGGGTTAAGGAGAGAATTCCAAACTTTTTTTGATAGGATTTGTATAGTTTCCGAGCGATTTCATTTCTGGAATTACTGTTTATCTTTGACTGTATCTGTCGTGTGCAACGTACTCGTTTAGCCAAGCCAACCAGTAGTGTTTATGGTGCATGAGAAAAAAAACAGAGGTCCTCACCACTTATACGATGAGGTTCTTAGTCTTTTTGGGACTTATTCAAATTTTCCTGTTGAATAAAGGCAAATGTGTACGTTTATACGAGTAACGCTTTCCTCGAGGAAATCTGGATCAATACTTTGTATAATATTATGTATGTATATTTTCAATTCATTGAAATAAACTGCACTATTAGTGATGCACATACAGCAACTACCAGAAACGCGCACATAGATGCGAAAACTATAAAACTGGGTAACTGGTCACTGTTATTGCATCTGATTTCATACAATTATATTCTTTGATTTTTCCATGATATTCTCTAATTTTTTTTATAAACACGCAAAAATCTCTGGAAAAACAAAACAATAAAATAGGACCGGAGATTTTGAAGCATCGCAATCGAGATGTACGTTTCCGTAATTTTACCGTCGTTTATGATTGATTGATTTGAGTGAAGTTGGAAAGCCCACAGTATACACTAGGGTGTGGCTTATTTCCATAAATTAAACTGATCAATTCCAAAATTAACAAGGCCGCCCGCCGGAACATTCCAATTAATGTTAAAACATACGTTGTAGGATGATTTCGCATGTGGTCATCATTAGGAGGTTCCGATGACCCTTCGGAAAAAATCGGCGCCAAAAATACTAAGTGCACAAGGAAAAGTTTGCGTTTATCAACCATCAATTGATTGCCTAGACAAGCGACTTTTTCTGAGAGGTTCTCTTGGGTGCAGCCTCATATGTGTTATAAGGTTTGTCGGCACTATTAGAAGTTGACCAAATGAAACATTGTTGAACAACATTTCTTTTCACATAAACTGAAACCTTTGACAGGGTGGGTTGTTAATTTTGAAATTCATCAGTTTAATTTATTGGAATGAACTGAGTTCCGGTACGCATTTCAATGGGTGACGCCATCTAGCGTGATGTGAAGCGGTTGCCCCACGCAGGACTAAATGGGCGGACATCTTGTCTCTTTGAATGAGATGGCTCGCTGAAGCGGGTCCAGAACAAAACGTCTGATGATAAAGTGAAACCCTGACAAATTTGTCATTATTTTCGTCGGTTCGGCAACAGCCCGCAAGAGCAGCCACAGTACACTAATTAATTTATAGATTAACTTTTATGAGGGTCTTGTTTGATCACAATTTTATGAATTTGCAGAGCGTATGGAACAAGGCGGGCTCTATACAGGGCGGTCAGGGGCGGCAGGGAGTTGGAGGGGGTGGGGGAGGGGTGTAAAAGAGGAACTACTCTCGACGCACAGTGAATCGAGTCAATTAGAGAGGTCGGACATGCAATTTTTGACTGAAACTGCAAATTTATATGTTTATTTCGTCACGTTTTAAACTTTGAGGGATGCTTCT